AAGAGCCTGGGTCAGCAGAGAGGACGCAGGGAAGCAGCCTGGGGGTTTTCCCTGTCCTGCCAGTGTCTTCTCACAGTCCTGCCCGTCCCTGAAACTGGGCCGTGGCCCTGCGGAGCTACCCGAGGTGACAGCCCACCTCAAGGCCAAGGGCTCCAGCACATGGATAGGACCGCTAAATGGCCCAGTTTGGGGCAGCTTTTCTTCCCAAGTTACGGGTTTGGCCTTGTTTGCGGGGCAAGGTGCGTGTGGGTCAGCAAAGCCTGCGCTTTGCTGTCTGAATGCAGTTAGTCGGATCCCTAAGCGCTCGCCCTGTGACTCCCAGACCCGCCCTGCTCTCTGCCTGGGACGTAATGTCTGCCTTTCTCCCATGCTCCCTTTCAAAGGCATGGTCAGCAAGGGGTGTGACGGCCTCGGTAAGATTTTCTTCTACTCTTTTTCTTCCATTACAGAATTTTTATTGTATTACCTAAACCTCAGAATTTTCATTCTGAAACAGAAATATACAGCGAATACTTTATCCTCAGAATCAATGCTCATCCTTTCTAGAAATACTACGTGCACACATTAACCGGAGCTTGATAGAACTGAGTTTTATTAGGAAGAGTGTCACACCAGCTTCTTCCATCTGGTGTGATGCTTCTAAGAGATCCCTCCGCATACTGCTTCAGGACCATCTTCAACAAGGGGGTCCATTCAAACGTACCGGAGCCACCGAGGGGCCCACGTACACTTACATTTCCCCAGAGTAACTGGGAGGTGGCTTTGGCCCCATCACGCGGGTGAGCTATCATCAGGCAAGTGAATTAACTCCCTTCTTGTGTGGTCTCAGCCATGGAAATTTTAAATCCAAAGCTGACACCTTCTAACTCTTTGGCCCACTGTCAAATGCAGCTTTGCTTGGGACCCTCAAGAACGGAGAGGGATATGCCCCCAGACCTTTTTTCAGTCCCCAGAATTTCACACGTTACTCTTGCACCCAGCGTCCCATAGAGAATGCCATAAAGTTAAGCCGGAACGTTTAGAAACCATTTTAACTCTTTACGAGACATTTCACATGCAATTACAAAGAAGAGTTTTCTTGGGATGGAATTTTGAGTCAGGTGGCTAAGCTTACTAATTAAATTCATCTTTTCGGTAAGTGAGCCTCAGAGCTGTAATTTCATACCCCAAGAAAAGATAAGCTGCTACAAGTTTTGAACATGTAAATTTGCTGGCCGGGAGACAGAGGTGTTAAATTTTTGAGAGATCTCTATTGCAGAGGCCTTTAAATTTCCTTACGTATAAGAATCAGTTGGAGAAACTTGTTAAAATGCAAATTCCCAGGCCAATCCGATTCTCCAGGTGTGGAGCCCAGGGATGTGCATAATTTAATAAGCAGCCGTGCTATCTGTAGAACACACAGGGAGCTCCACACTTTGAGAAACACCCATGGGGTGCCTTGAAATAGCGAGTCAAGTCTCTAGCTATAGGGAATGAAAGGAAACTAATAGAACATTCTTTAGCAGTTGATTCAGATCAAGTTAAGCTGGATAGGCCAAAGGAAAGAAATAGTTGGGTACATTTCTGGAAAATTCTGGACAAAACGTTGTCCTTGCTCTAAGCACTCTGGTTTGGCTATGCAGGTGCTGCCAAGATTTCACTTTACCTTCCAGGTCTCTGCCTGCCTTGCAGACTTCCGTGCATTGTGTTCAGCCTCTCGCTTCTCTGTTACAGGTTTGTCTGCTATTTCTCTTCCAAGACAGATGGCCATGCAAAATGCCATTAAGCACATACATGAGATAATACAGAACACAATAACTTTATTTAAAACAGAGAAAATTTTGACAAATGTTAATTGGACCTTAGTAGAAGAAAAAGTGAAGATTAAATACAGCACTTCGGTGAGTTGATACCTGGCAAAAAATTAGTCCTTCTTTTCCTCCTTGGCTCTGCCTCTCTTGCTTTAGTTTATTATAATATATTAAAAAACCTGATTCTGCTAAAATGTCAGAAAACTCGAGGGGGGTGTATTTATGAGCTTTGCTATCTTCGCGAAAAGACTCGTTTGAATCCTGTCACTAAAGAGAAGGTCTTGGTGATCTAACTTTATTTGCCAAATACGGGAGAATTAATGTTTTTACAAACTGGCTGATGTTTCCAACATGTTAAGAAACTCTCCTTGGAGAGATCTCTCCTTGGAGAAGTATTAGAAAAAGGCAGAAAAAAGGCTGCTTCAGAGAGCAGTCAAGCATAGACGGGTAGGGGAAGAACTTTGCTTCTTAATCTCCCTCAGTCAATAGTTATTTAGCTGCGATTGAACACATTTCTTACATGGAGAACGTTATCTGCTTAAAGATGGCCCTTGATTTTCACAACTGCGATGTGAGTTAATGCAGTCTTCGTTGAGTGAAGCATTTGACAGCTCCTAATCGTTTTTACTTATTTTTAACTTTCTCTCTGTATGCTTTTAAAACGTAGTCTGATTCTGTCCCGTTTTACTACGTTTCCCAAGACGAAAAAGAGGAGTCTCCAACAGATGAAGTATTAATAGAGGAAGCCAGGCTGCATGTAGCTATGATACAGATGGTCGGTACTGTTCGTATGCTCCTTTTTCTTATTCTTTCTTTTTCTTATTCTTTCAATGCTTTTAATTCTTACACATGGTTTTCTGGTGACTAGAAAAAAAAAGTATTTTTCTAGTCACCAGAAAACCATGTGGGAAAAAGACCCACATAATGATAAGGAAAAGTATTTTTCTAGTCACCACAAAACCATGTGGGAAAAAGACCCACATAATGATAAGGAAAAGACAGCAGGGGTGGCTCTGTTTATATCAGATAAAATAGACTTTAAGTCAAAATTGGTCGCAAGAGACAAAGAAGGTCATTCTAATGGGTAGATGTCGGTCAAAGCAAAACTTTTAAGTGTTAAGTTCTGGGGTGTCTAACATGCAGCATGGTGACCACGGTTAACAATGCTGTGCTATATACTTGAACACTGCTAAGAGTGTGGATCTTGGAAATATTCTCACCACGCACAGAAAAATTGTAATGACGTATGTGAGGTGATGGGCGTGTTACTAGCCTTGTTGTGGTAATTATTTTGCAGTATACATGGGTATCAAATCGTCACGTTGTATACCTAAGCTTTATATGTGACAGTGTTCCAGCTCAATCGTACCACAATAAGCCTGGAAAAAAGTTTTTAAGAAAAAGGACACAATTTACTTGTCTCTCTTGGTAGCTTTGGTCGAGGCTGAGATGCTATTTATAAGTGTAAACTCTTCGAGTTGTAAAGATCTGGAGTTTCCTGAAGCTAGGAACCTTAGTATCTCTTAAAACTTCCAGGACAGTATTTCGTAAGAAATGAATATTTGGTAAATATTTAAATTGAACACAATTTATTTCCTACCATAGCATTTTTGTGGGCGCAAGTATATTTTTGCGTAATGACTTCAGTGGTGACAGTCAGGGCCATGTAAAGGTCAGCAGAGTTTATTACATTCGAGTTCATGTTTTGATCCTTTGTCATTTTTATTTAAAATTGTATGTTTAGAGTAGCTTTGAAAAACAGTGTAAAGATGGAATCCTTGGTGTAGAGGCGGCCCGGATATTAATTGGTGCAACCAAAAGCTATTGCCCTATCCAAGGAAAGTAAGTATAATGCTTTTTTAATTGACATTTCCAAAATTGAATGGGTATGTGATAAGGAATGAAAGAACTGAGAATTAAATGTCCAGACTGACCAATCTGTTTACCTTATCTCTCTTCACCTACCTGTCTGTTTGTCCATCTGTCTGTCCATCTGTCCGTCCGTCCGTCCATCCATCCATCCATCCATCCATCCATCCACCATCCAACATTCATTCATTCACCCACTCATATTTGTCTGTCTATCTATCTATCTATACCTACTTCCTACTTGTTTACATTTTTCCCCTCAGAAGGTTCATAACCTTGGTGGCATTAGGAGGAAGGTCTGACTGCAGTGTAATTAGATAAGAGACAAGGGGAGCCATGAAGGAGAACCCAGATAGTTTCAATCTATCATAACTATTTTGCCTTTATGTCATATTCACTAAATCACTGGATGAGGGAGGAGGGAAGCCTGGAGGCTACCGTTAGGCTGCTCCCTGTGGTGGAGCGGGGAGGATGAGCCCGCTGATGGTGTTGACAGACGCAACTAAATCTGGTGGGAATAAAATGAATCAACAAACGAGGTGGGAAAAGCTTAGTATCTCAGAGATATATTGACGTCTGGTCATAGTCCTGGGAAATGGTAGGTTATGGATGGTCCAAGACAAAGCTGTGGGGCAGCAGAGATGGGAGGTCCTGTCTGGGTGACGGTCAACGTTCGGGCAGCTCGGTCACGTCCCTGGGAGATGTAGCATCTGTTCCTGGATAAAGCTTGGGAAGGGTAGGGCCTTGCAGCTTTGGAGAGGCTTGGGCCAGGCGAGGCATGGCAAAGGGAGGCTTGATTCTGAACCCCAGAGAACTGGGCTGGAAAAGCTTTCACTGTGTTGGACCTCAGGTCAGGGAGGGTTCCAGGAATAGCCGTTTTGTGCTCAAAATGTTCCTGTGCCATGACCAGGACTGGGTGGGAGGTTGGACACAGGCTCAGGAGGGAGCATGTTCACCATAGCCATGTTACATCTGTGTTCAGTATAAATTTCCCTTGTGTATTACCCCCAAAGCGTAGCACTTGCTTTTTAATGTAACGTGTGTGTATTTTCTCTGTTAGATTCATGAGTATTCATGATGTTTCAACTTATGTAAAAGCTAGAAGTTGGCTTGTGAAATTTAAAAACATGTTAACTTTCTTGGAATTTCATAAAATTAAGCCATTACCCCTTAGTACATATGAGTAAGTATTGTGAACTTTTAATAGCAATATATTTGAAAATATGACCTCTCTGCGTCGTCAGAATAGAGTACCTGGATTTCCCTCATTAAACAGACTACGCTTCCCGATCCAGTGGCGAGGTGGCGAAGCGTGTCTCTCTCGCCATCTTGTTCCAGCAGCTTCCCTGACGTGTCTGTTGGGGAGGAGCGGGAAGGAGAGGGGGATGGTCACATCTGGATTCGTCAAGTTTGCCATGTCTTCGGGTCATGGTGCTCACCTGGCAGCCTACACGGCCTTCTGGTATTCCGGATGTAATGTCGGGAGTAGGGTGAGAAGCATCAAATTCGTGCACTAGATCCAGCTCTCAGCTTAATTTCATCCATGCTGTAGGGTGATCTGTAGTCAGGAAAAAATATGACACAGCATTAATAATACCTGTAACCAATTTTCCAAAATATCTCAAGATACAGATTTTACTCAACTCGGGTGCATTTTTTGCTTTGTTACATAAGCTGTGAACTTACATACTTTTTAGAGCAGGGAGACAAGGTTTTTCTACTAATAGAATATGTCAAAACAAGAAGCTACCAGGAGCCTCAACATTACTAAATTTTAAGTGGGTGTTAACTTATCTTTCATAATAAATTTTGATAATTTTCTACTTTCTTCCATTTATTAAGTTTAAAGAGAAATGTGAAAAACTAAAACCCGATGTATATACAACCAAGGCTCTACTCTAGGAGGATTGAAAAAAAATTTAAATATGTCATGGTAATTATTGAATAGAATATTTTTTCCTGTTCCTAATTTTAAATGATGCTGATGTTTTTCTCTACATTTGTTTCTTGCTTTCAATGTATGAATCATTGCATTGTTTCCTATGTGTTATTGCCTTGATTTTAAAAAAAAAAGCTCCCCATCCCTGATACAGATGAACAAGAGCCATATTTTTATCTTTCTCCATTATGATTTTTATGTATAGAAAGTATGTTTTAGGTTTTTGCTTATCTACTGTTTTATTTTATTTATACTTTCTTCAAGTTAATGTTTTATTTAAACAAATGCTAAACTTCAGATCTTAATTATTATACTTTTAAAGTGATCCGACATTTTATTTGATCTCTCTTTTTTTTTAGGAATAATAAATTTCTGATATTTATACATCACATTGTATTTTCAGAAGAATTTGAATATGCGGGACATATTGTATCATTAATCTACATTTATCCTATGATAATGCATTTATGGCCGATGGCAAGAGAATTAAATGTGTTATCACTGATGTCAGTAAACTACTATTTTCTATTTTTGTTTATATTACAGTCAACGTTGAAGGTACTGTTTAAAATAGAAATGTATCCTACAAAAAGAACAATTGAGATATTATGAATTCGTTTTGGTTATATTTTCAAATGACTTGATATCAGAAGCCATTTGCTGTAACAGTCGAAAGAATCCTAGAAATCAAGTAATTTTTTTTAATTTTCTGGGTTTAATAATAAACTCAATAGAATGGTCACGGTTTTGGATATCAGATAAAGTAAGTATCAGAAAAGTGGAAAGAGTCTCAAAGATCAGGTAAAGAGAATTGAAAATCCAGAACAGATGTGTCCCTTGAATACTCCCTGTATTGATGCCAATAAATAAATAAGTGACTGAAAACAAATTGGTTTGCTAGGTCCTCATTGTCATATGATGACTACTTTTTACTTCAAAGATGATTTGTCATCATTACCATCTTCATACTTTAATTATTACTAATAGAATCACAGTGAACCCATTTATTGCTATTTTTCATGCCTTGTTTTAGGAATTTCGGCTTCATTACAGATTATATACTTTGAATGAAATTACTGTTTTTGATGTTGGAGATTAAAAAGAATTTTTTGGAATTCTAAATGAATAACTCGAAACCCAACTTTTGGAATATAACTCATTTGTAGTTGAGGATTTAACTTAATTTTTAAGATCCACGCCCCCACATAATTGTATAGGTGCTATGAAATGACATAGGTTCTATTTGTTTTCTAAACAGATAATAATTTTGAAAAAGAAATATTTTAATCAACATTGGAATACTCTGGAATTTTCTATCGTGATCATCGGAATTGTTGATGTCTTTTGTCTATATTTTGTCAAATTGAGACCGGACCACTTCGTTCTTATTCAGATTGCAATAATATTGGGATATTTAAGAATGCTTAGGTTTATTCCTCTCATCAAGGTAAAACTTCACACTTTTAAATATTGGTGTTTTTTTTTTTCTATACTGTTGGTTAAAGGTCTTAAAACAAAAACAAAAAAACAAAAAAAACCTCACTGTTAGGAAAGAGACGAGGGAAGGAGGTCGGTCTCGTCCTGGAACGCCTTCTCTACAGGCAGCTACTGGGTTCTCCACGCCACCGAGCTGCTGTACAGAGCGGTATATACAAAACCTGCTTAAGGGGTAATTTTGATTATTTATAATTTTGCCTATGAACCGAGATTAGGGCTAAGTGTTCCCATAAGTATAAACTACCCTAGAACTACGCCATAATACAAACTACCCTAGAAATCAGAAATGTGTAGTCCGAGGCTAGGTCTTGAAGTGAAAGGTAGAAGCTTCCTTGGGTTATCTGTTTTTATTAAGCGATCTTATACAGATGAATGGAAAATAGTTATTTTAGAAGTAATACTTTGCAAAGAGTCTCACTGGGTGAAATAAAGATTTAAAGATGTCTAATAGTGGAAGTCGACTCCATTTAGACTGTCACCCAGCTGTCACTTCTGTTCAGCAGCACACTGGCAAATCTCGATGAAGTTATTTACGGGATCAGTGTAATTAATTAATGTAATTTATAGAATCGTGATTAGCTTATTTTATTGAATGCTTACTATGTTCCGGGAACATAGCACATTATCTAATTAAATATTATACTAGCCCTATGAAGTAGCTGTCACTGTTATATCAAGTTAGGTGCTTTCCAAAGAAACGCACCTGCGTTGGAGGGCTTGGAAAAGTATTGGAGACTTTTAGCTTAGATCCTCTTAGGAATAGCTCACGGGGTATCAGTGCATCATGGAATAAAACTAGTAAAAATTCTCTTTTAACATCTCTCCCTCTGCCCAAAGTTTACAACCGAAACACCGGCTAAGAAAAGAAAAATCTCCCTTTTCTCTCCTCTTGCAAGTCCTCCGCTCCGGTATTCTTCCGTTCACGTCTTCCTCCTTTGTTACCCGGTCCCTCGCCGTGTGCCCTGCACGCCCGACGTGCCCCTGAATCCGGGCTTGGGCAGCTGTGAGGAGCAGCTCCACTGGGATCCTGCTTCTTACATTCTGATGTCCTCGTTTCGCAGACGAGGACACTGAGCCTTCAAAATCACTAAATAAGTAGTTCAGGGTCACAGGGGTAGCGAGCAGGAGTTGGTGTTTGAGCCCAGGGAGGTTTGCACTGAAAATCCCATGGTCCTCAGTCACTACATTCTCCTGCCGCAGCCGATGAATCGAGAAACTTAGAGCCGAGAAGGAACTTGGACACCCTCAGGTCCTTATCTCACAAGTGAAGGAACCGAGGTGCAGAGAGATGATGTATTTGCTTGGTAACTGTCACCCAAATTATAGGACCCCCATGCTTGTCTCCTAAAATCGGGGAGGGGTGTGGAGAATGCGGGGGAGAGCAGTGGCAGCTAGTAAGTTGTTATTTCTTTAGAGAGTGGCTTTCGAACTCGAGTGCGCATGTGGTCACCTGGGGGACTTGTTAAAACACGGGT